GTCTCACTTTATACCCCTAATACTTTATTATCAGAGGGCAGAGACTCCCCCTCCCCCCACATGGTCCGGCCATTGAGCTTGCACATCGCCCTGATCTACACCTCACACATCGTCCCACCTCAAGCTCATTCCTTGCTATGCCACCTCAACAAGTCGACACAACAAAGAGCCCATGCCTTGTTATGGTCTCGAACCTCTCTTCATCGCGCAGCAACTGGACGTCAAACCTCTCTTCATCGCGCATCAACTGGACGCCAAACCTCGTGCCTTGTTATGGTGTCAAACCTCATGCCTTGCTATGGTGTCAAACCTCATGCCAAAGAGGCTATGCCTTGTTAATTGCAAAAAAAAGCCCATGCCTTGTTATGGTGTCAAGCCTCTTCGCCGCGCATTTACTCGATGTCAAGTGTGGGAAGGTCGATGGTGAAGATATGTCAATTGTAGGATTGTATGGTTGATAGATTATTTTATGAAGAAGAGAAAGGGACAATATATCTTGCACATACTCGGTGAATCGTAATTTTACCATGATGTTTTATCCTAGGGTGAAGACAAGAGGCATTACCTGAACATTCATTCCATTGACGAACAGGCTCCGTCTATTAGGAGGCTGGTGGAATGATCTAACAAGATAATGGCAAAATGCAAGGAGGGAAAATGCACGACTATTGTTGCGATGTATATCATGTGGAACATACTGAAGATTCCCTTGGGGGGTGGGGGCGCTTGCGCTGTTGTTGTGGTTTTCATTCTAGCACATTGCAAGCCTCCACATCATCAATCGCATGCAAGTCCATCACATTGAATCTTTTCTAACACATGAAAAACCCTCTCCATCATCAAACACAAGCAAACCCTCCATGTCAATAGATTCTTTTACCTTTTACCTTTTAGCAACATATCATTTCCATTTCACAGTTTATTGCTAAAAATCTCACAGCAACGCACGGGGTGTTATCTAATTATTATAACAACACGCGTCTAGACATACAAACATCGGGTGACTGTTAGACAATGTTACATACATGTCACGATCCCAACCAGGAGGTGGTGTTCGGCTGGTGTTAGGTGTTAGGCATAGAGATAGATTTGGTTGTTAGAGTTTAAACATATTACAATTGTAACTATCTCTATCTCCTTATCTCCTCTCCAAGTAATCTCTCCTGAGATTCCCTCTCTGTACCGATCGTCCTGATCTCCTTGTATCGATCGTTGGGGTCGCGTCCCCCCTCTCCTTATAACGTGAATCACGTCCCTCGAGAGAGGCAAGACGTTTCCCGCTATCGCACATGGTAGTCAGAGCCTTCCTTTTCCCATCTGAAGCTTCTGTCGAATCCATCTAAGCCTAGCCATGTCTTCCTCCTCCGCCTCCGGTGCCTCCTCCTCAAACCTCAATAGCCAGGTCACGGAGAAGCTGTCCCGCACGAACTACGTGCTATGGCGAACACAGATCACCCCCCAACTGCGTGGCGCCGGCGTCTACGGCTACGTCGACGGCACCACACCGGAGCCGGCGAAACTCCTCATCACCACCAAAGACGGCAAGGAGACTTCATCACCCAACCCTCTCCACCCTGTATGGGTCCGGGAGGACCAGCAGGTCCTTAGCTTCCTGCTGGCCAACCTCACAAAGGAGGTTCTGGTGACGGTGACCACAGTCACCACGGCGAGCGCGCTCTGGACGACGCTCGCTACCATGTTCTCGTCGCACTCGGTGAGCCGCATCAACAACATCCGCACCTCCCTCATCAACGCGCAGAAGGGTAATCTCTCGGTTGCCTCTTACTTTGCTGCTATGCGCGGATATGCAGATGAACTAGCCGCGGCGGGCAAGGCCATCCAGGATGACGAACTAGTCTCCTACATCATCCACGGGCTAGACACCGATTACCAGCCTCTGGTATCTGCTCTCGATGCTCGTGTCACCCCCGTCACACTCGATGAACTCTACGCCATGCTCTCCAACTTCGACCAGCGCATGGCTCATTACCACGGGTCCGGCGGCGACGGCTTCAAATCTTCAGCCAACATGGCGTCGCGTGGGCGGGGTGGTGGCTCCCGTTCACGTGGCCCTCCTCACAACAAAGGGCGATCTGGTGGCGGCGGCGGCAGTGACCGTGGCTCCTCTCCTCAGCGCGCGGGCGGCAGAGGCCGTGGCTGTCGCGGTCGTGGCAGCGGCAACAGGACGCGCCCCGACACTCCACGATGCCAAATCTGCAGGAAACCTGGACACACAGCAAGGGATTGCTGGTACAGGTACGAAGAGGATGATGATGATTCCCAGGATGATGACAAGGTTGTTGCGGCGGCTGATGGGTCCTACGGCGTCGACACAAATTGGTACGTCGACAGTGGGGCCACAAACCACATCACCAATGAACTCGAGAAGGTGACCATGAAGGAAAAATATCGTGGCAAGGATCAAATCCACACTGCTAGCGGAGAAGGTATGAGTATATGTCATGTTGGTCACTCAATATTTCGTACCCCTAGACGTAAACTACACCTTAGAAATTTTTTGCATGTCCCTAGCACATAAAAATCTTCTTTCTGTTCATCGCATTGCCATCGATAATCATGTTTTTCTCGAGTTTCACCCTTTTTTCTTTTTGATCAAGAATCAGGCAACGAGGGAAATACTCTATCGCAGTAGATGTGTTCGAGGGCTCTATCCGTTGATTCCAGAGTTTAGAAGATTCAATAAACAAGCTTGTGGTGCTATCAAGCTTACGTCCACACGATGGCACGATCGTTTAGGACATGCCTTTTTTTCTTTAGTTGAAAAGTTGCTTAGGAAAAATAAGCTCCCGTTTGTTGGTGAGCGTCATGTTGAAACAATTTGTGATTCATGTCAACGAGCAAAAAGTCATCAATTACCATACCCCGTTTCTACTAGTGTTTCTATCAAACCTCTCCAACTTAATTTTTCTGATGTTTGGGGTCTAGCCCCACACTCTATTGGTAGACACACGTATTATGTCAGTTTTATTGATGACTACAGTAAATTCGATTGGATCTATCTTCTCAAACGAAGACCAGATGTGTTTCAAGTTTTCCAAAACTTTCAAGCTCTTGTTGAACGCAAGTTTGATAGCAAAATCATCGCTGTCCAATCAGACTAGGGGGGAGTACGAAAAGTTGAACTCCTTCTTCCAAAACCTTGGTATCTCTCACCAAGTATCATGCCCACATGCTCACCAGCAAAATGGCTCAGCTGAACGCAAGCATAGACACATCGTAGAGGTAGGTCTTGCCCTTTTGGCAGGAGCCTCCATGCCTCTGATCAGGTTTTGGGATGAAGCATTCCTCACTGATGTTCACATTATCAACATGCTACCCAGTCGTGTCATTAATAATGAAACTCCGGTAGAACGCCTCCTTCACACAAAACCAGATTACAAATCTCTTCGAGTCTTTGGGTGTGCATGTTGGCCAAACCTTCGTCCCTACAACAATCGCAAACTCATGTTTCGATCAAAACAGTGTGTCTTTCTAGGATACAGCGCCTAGCATAAAGGTGTAAAATGTCTCGATGTCTCCACTGGTCGCGTTTACATCTCACGTGACGTCATATTCGATGAAACCAAATTCCCATTTGCTGATCTTCACCCCAATGCTGGCGCTCTTCTTCGAAAAGAAATCCTTCTTCTGCCTTCCCATCTCACTAGTTTTGATCAAGGGGGGCAAAATATTGATGATCAATTATTGACTAACTCATCTAATGATCTGGATGAGCTTTGTGTTGATGATACAGGAGAAATCCATGAAGAAATTGTTGTTGAAAAAAATTCAGATGGACCATATTTTATGTGTCCTACCAGAGGAGACAGATCCTCCTCGGGATCCGTCCAGGGGCAGCAAATTAGATCTGCTCCGGGATCGCAGCCCAACGCAGGCGCAGGCGAGCGTGCAGTCTTCCCCGATTCCCGTAGCGCCGGTCCCACGAGCGACACGCGGGCCTCGTCCGCTGGCTGCGCTGGCTCCCCTGCTCGCGCCAATCGCCGCCCTCCACTTGGCCGGCCCCAGGTGGCCCAGAAGCTGCGCGTCACCCCATCCAACCGGTGACGTACAAGAGGCGTAAAGGTACACGGTCCAGGGAGGGCGCGGGGCCTGACACGGGCCCGACCACCCCTGGCACAAAAACTCGCACGGATCCAGCCCCTGACATGGCCCCTGGCGCGGAAACTCGCGCGGATCCAGGCGCAGATCCGACCGGCACGGAAATTCAAGTGGATCTGGCAGCTCCGGGATCTTCTGTGGCTGCTTCAGGCGTCCCGCCTCATGTTTCAACCGCAGAAGATCCGACGCTGCTGGGTGGCGCTGCTGCTACTGCTGCCGAATCCCTCTTGGGTTCTGGTCCAACCAATGATTTGGGAACTACGGGATCCTCTGTGGCAGCAGATACGAGTGCTCAGCAGCCACGTCGCACACGCCTTCAACAAGGGAAAATTCAACCTATCAACTACAAGCATATATCCAAGTATGGTATGGTTTGTTTCACAGGTGAACCAGATGAACCTAACACCCTTGACGCAGCATTGTGTGATGATAGGTGGAAGAAAGCCATGAATGAAGAGTATATGGCATTGAAGAAAAACAAAACATGGCATTTGGTTCCCCCACAGCAAGTTTAAAATTTAATTGATTGCAAGTGGGTTTTCAGGATTAAAACAAAAGTTGATGGAACTATTGATCGTTATAAGGCTAGGCTAGTAGCAAAAGGTTTTAAACAGAGATATGGTATAGACTATGAAGACACATTTAGTCCAGTGGTAAAGGCTGCCACCATTCATCTTGTCCTATATATTACTGTTTCCAGAGGATGGAGTCTCAGACAGCTTGATGTTCAGAACGCGTTTCTCCATGGTGTTCTGGAAGAGGAAGTGTACATGAAACAACCTCCTGGGTTTGGGAGTAAGAATGCTCCTTCATATGTATGCAAGCTTGATAAGGCACTATATGGGTTGAAACAGGCTCCAAGGGCATGGTATGCTCGTCTCTGTCACAAAATGCAAGCACTTGGTTTTGTTCCCTCTAAATCTGACACATCATTGTTCATCTACAACAAGTCCAACACATGCATATTTGTTCTCATATATGTTGATGATATTATTGTAACCAGCTCATCTGATGAAGCTATCAGAGGACTTCTTAAGGATCTAAGTGCAGAATTTGCTCTAAAGGATCTTGGTGATTTGCACTATTTTCTTGGGATTGAGGTGAAGAAGCACAAAGATGGACTTCTGCTCTCTCAAGAAAAATATGCCACTGATTTGGTTAAGAAGGCTGGGTTACAGGGATGCAAGCCTTCCCCCACTCCATTGTCTAGTTCAGAAAAACTGTCTCTTGTAGAAGGTGAGCCCTTGAATCAAGAGGACAACACGAAATACAGGAGTTTGGTAGGAGCTCTTCAGTACCTTACGCTTACCAGACCGGATCTGTCTTTTGCTGTTAACAAAGTCTGTCAGTTTCTTCATGCACCTACCAATGTTCATTTGACAGCTGCAAAACGTATAGTTCGGTATGTGAAGGATACTCTGAACTTGGGACTGAAGTTTAGCAAATCACCCTTCACTCTTGTCACTTGTCAGTGCATTCTCTAACTCAGATTGGGCAGGCTATCTTGATGACAGACGCTCCACTGGTGGCTTTGCAGTATTCTTTGGACCAAATTTGATATCATGGTGTGCACGTAAATAGGCCACTGTATCCAGGTCGAGTACAGAGGCAGAATATAAGGCATTGGCTAATGCTACACCTAAAATAATATGGGTTCAGTCTATGTTGAAGGAACTTGGTGTACAAAGTAAGCAAGCTCCTTGCTTATGGTGTGACAATCTTGGTGCTACATATCTCTCTACAAATCCGGTGTTTCATGTCAGGACAAAGCACATAGAGATTGATTTTCACTTTGTCAGAGAAAGAGTTGCTCAGAAACAACTTGACATTCTCTTTGTGCATTCCAGAGATCAACTTGCATATGGATTCACAAAGCCCTTGCCCACAAGAAGCTTTGAAGACTTCAAGCATAATCTCAACTTAATGAAGTTGTGATTAAGGGAGGGTGTTAGACAACTTTACATACATGTCACGATCCCAACCAGGAGGTGGTGTTCGGCTGGTGTTAGGTGTTAGGCATAGAGATAGATTTGGTTGTTAGAGTTTAAACATATTACAATTGTAACTATCTCTATCTCCTTATCTCCTCTCCAAGTAATCTCTCCTGAGATTCCCTCTCTGTACCGATCGTCCTGATCTCCTTGTATCGATCGTTGGGGTCACGTCCCCCCTCTCCTTATAACGTGAATCACGTCCCTCGAGAGAGGCAAGACGTTTTCCGCTATCGCACAGAGACAACCCGGCTTCTTTCGTGGATCCCGATGAAAACTGTGCTAGACACTATTATGAAAATACGGCTTCTTCAGTGCAGCGATCATCTGGACGGATGGCCTCGCCATCAGACCAGACCACCAAGCTTTCACATGCGGATACGCGTCGAACAAAGAAGCGTAGGGTGTAGCCGCCAGGCATGCGGTAGCAGACACATGGTTAAGGTCCGCGAGGCTGAGGAAGTCTCCAGCCAGGTACTTGCACTTGGTCAGGCGCGCCTCGTACACCTCCAGCACCTTCTTCAGTTTCACAAGGTTATCCTCGACAGTTTTCTGGTCAGTGGCTCGCCCGAACATAGGACGGACGAGGCACTCAAGGATAATGGGCTCCAGTGTGGCCGTGTACTGATGGGCCTCCACCTCGAGCCACACATCTACCATTGCTGATTCCTTGAGGTTGCCCTCCTTCAACAGCTCCGGTTTGTTCTTGCGGCATGTGTACTTGCAAATAGCATGCGATTCTAACAAGAAAAAAGAAACATAACCAGAGTTGTGATAATCAGCAACGGTAGTAACGCGGTTCTAACATAAATTGTTCTAAAGCAAACATAACGTATATGCATTTGCCTCGAATCCTGGATAACTAAGACATGTGATTTTTCTTCTCTTTTCTGGTTAAGCTGATGTTTTGAGCATACTAGAATAGGTTGATGACAATTCAGTACGTACCAAATGCCATTTCATTCTCATAAGATTGTGGGTCATCGTTTATCCAAGAACGACCACATCCCTTTCATAGAAATGATGTTGTGCTGTACTTCCCTATGATTAATTTGGTCCTCTGTGATTACTTTGGTTTCTATAATGAGAAAAACATTTCATTATTTGCCTAGTGGAAACATTGTTTCACATAGAAACCAAGTCCCAAAATCTGTACTCCTTTTTCTCTTTTGATGAAACAATGGGAGCTTACTGCCAAAGTGACTACAACATCAAGGAAAACATACAAATAATAAAATCGAAAAAGAAAACAAGAGCTGGCAAAGTGAAGGAGGGGGGGATCCTAATATGACAATTCAGTACTTAGCAAATGCCATTTCATTCTAATAAGATTGTGTGTCATCATTTATCCAAGAAATGATGTTGCGTTGTACTTCCCTATGATTTGGAACTCTGCGATTACTTTGGTTTCTATAATGAGAAAAACATTTAATTATTTGCCTAGTGGAATCATTGTTTCACATAGCAACCAAGTCCCAAAATCTGTACTCCTTTTTTTCCTTTTGACGAAACAATGGGAGCCTGCTGCCAAAGTGACTACATAATTGATAAGGAAAACAAGAGCTGGCAAAGGGAGGGAGGGGGGATCCTAATATAATAACAGCTGACAATTATACATAATTGATATTTTTCTGCATCACGTCATCTTATACGGACAGCTTAGGCACCGTTTCAACAAAGGTGGAAAACTGGAAATGCCAGCTTAGACACACTTTTGGGAAATAAGGCAGCAACATCAACAGCAAAGCAACAATAATGTCAGAGCATCTTGTCCCTTTTAAGTTTATATTCACGAGGGATGGAAAAGAGGCACATCTCCAAGTGTTAGCATCATACCCCAGACGTAGAAGTCACCATCCTGCAGAACTGGCATCTGACCAAAGGGCTGCAGAGGACCATATGAAGACAGTGAGGTTTTTGTCAATCAGATGTCACACCTCTAAAAACAGGATTCATCAAATGCCACAGTTACTCTAACACTAAGATCGGTTGGTCAAACCAATGTGAATAAGATAACATGCATAGATTTCCATTGTCTTCGTACAAACAAGTTGCTAAACGTACCCTGCAGTAGCAGGCTAATTGTATGTATAGATACTAATTGCCATTCAACAAATTTAGCGACTATAAGGCTGGATAAAGCAGAGTGTGGAAAGATCTGCTCAAAGGCCGAATAAATGTTTAGAAGCCAAGTCTGAATTTCGAATAGTAGAATGGATGGTTTGTGCGGAGACAGTTGATCAGGTTCTTGGTGGCTTGGTGCTACTTGCAGAGTGCAGACCCAATTCTTTTGCTCAACATTGGTGGTGGTGAAAAAAGTAGTGCTCTTAAATCCTAATGGCTTAGATTATTCATGTAGTTAGTAGCAGTCGTCTGTTGGGCACTCTGGGCCCTTACAGAAAAGGCTTGTTTGAGTTAATTGCAAGAAACCACCACATTTAGGGCATCATTTGCAAAAAACCATGAGGTCACTAATTTTTTGCAAAAGCCACCGCGTTTTTAGTAAACTTTTTGCAGAAAGCACTGATCACATGCTTTGCTGCGTTTGATCACGTTTCCGACAGGTGGGGCCCGCTAGTCAGGAGCTGACTTGAAAAATATTGCCACGTGTGAGTCTTGACCAAGTCTTCTTCCTTCTCCTCTCTTCCACTCTCACACACATTACAACAAACAGGTTGTGTGCGTGAACTGGGAGGGGCAGGGCCCGACGCCATCGGCTGGGACGGGAAAGCGGAGCCGTCGGCCGGCGAGCAGCCGCCGCTCGTGTGCGTGGTGCAGAAGGACCCTCGTCCCGCGAGCACGCGCCCCGACGAAGAGAAGGACTGCCTGACGGCCCCGGTGAGGCGGCCACCCTTCTCCCGTGCGAGCACGCGCCCCGGCGAAGAGAAGGACGGCCTGACGGCTCCGGTGAGGCGGCCACCCTTCTCCCGCGCGAGCACGCGCCCCGGCGAGGCGTACTCCCTCCTCCAGCCCGAGCATGCGCCCCTTCCTTCCGACGAGGCGGCGTCCCTCCTCCCCGCGAGCATGCGCCCTGAGATCCGGTGAGCACGTGCCCCTGACCTCGCGCGCGAGCACGCCCTTCAACACGTCGCGGTACAGCCGTGCACGCCGGCCGCGTCCTCCGCCGCGGCCGTAGCAGTCTCCGCCGCCGACGGCACGACGCGCCCAGCGAGGCCGCAAAACAGAGGGAGTGTTGGAGGGAGCGAGGCCACCGTGTAGAGGCTCGGGCTCGCGAGGCCACTTGTGCCAGGAGCGCGGCGGCTGTTGCTCGCCGGGCGATGCAGCAGCGGGTGCCCTGGTCGTGGGTGTTGAGGGAGCGGCCGGCGGCGAGCAGCGGTGAGACTCTCCTCCATAGCCTACACACGACGGGGGAGGGGGTTGATTGCTTTTAGTTTTAAGATCTGAGGGTGTATATGTAAATGTTTTGCCAAGTCAGCTCCCGACAATTCGGTCCCACTTGTCAGAAAGTAATTAAACGACCTAAATCACTTGATCAGTGCTTTTTGCAAAAAGTTTACTGAATGTGCGGTGCTTTTTGCAAAAAATTATTGACCTCGTGGTTTTCTGCAAACGATGCCTTAAATGTGATGGTTTTGTGCAATTAACTCGGCTTGTTTTGATAACTACAGTAATTGATTAGGTCCCCCGCTGAGGTCATAGTATGTTTCATGTGTTCGTTTCTGAGATTTTAGTCAGGGCTTCATACAAGGACAGCAAACAGGCATGGGTTGCAGGTGCACCGGAGACCCCTTTTGAGACTAGACTAGAAGCATATATGGAGGGCATTGCAAACTGAAGGCGGTAAGCATGCGTACGTTCCTGGCGAGGTGGTCGGGGGTCTTGTGCTCGCCGGCGCCGAAGTCGATGGGCACGACGTCGTACTCGACGCCGGCCTCCTCCAGGGCCGCCACGCACCTCGTCACGTTCCACGACATGGTCATGCCGTACAGCTTCACCAGAGCCATCGCCACTCCCTGTTACGACCCGATCTGGAGGGTAGGTGAGAGGAGTCAGGAGAGGAGAGCAGCTGAGAAAGGAGACGGCGGAGGTGAGAGGAGAGCACACGCTTCTCATTTCTTTTTAAACCCCAAGGTTTACACTTCTTTCTTCTTCCTTTTTTTTGTAAGAAGAACACAGCCACACACTTAAATAGCCACTAGGCCGATCCCACATTGGGCCACTCTCGGTCCCTCGTTACAAGGCCGACGGCCCACAGGCAGCTCTCTTGCACTGCAGGCGTGATAGCCTTGAAATCACTAATTCAGGAGCGCTCCTCGCAACGATTAGTTGGGGAGCGCTCCGCACGCGCCAAGTGTCACGTAAGGAGCGGTCGGGAGACTTTTCCGAGGCGCTCCGCGCGCGACACTTGTCGCGCGTACGGCGTCTCCCGTGTTTTTCGGTTTCTGGTTTCCTTTTCTGTTTTTTTTCACTTTAGTCCTTATACTTTTAATGTTTTATAAAATCTTTTGATCTGTTTTGAGATATGTTTTCTCTCTGGTGTGGGCGAACCGTCGTGGAGCACTGTTCTTTCTTTGCCGTCGTCTTCGTCCGTCGCGGCCGCCGCTCTTGTCGCGTGGTTACGGCGGCCCCTGTCCCGGCCGCCGCGCTTGTTGCCTGGTTTTACGGCGGTCCTTCTTTAGCGTCGACCGCGCTTCCCCGTTCGCGTGATCGCCGTTCCCTACCGGTTGCCTTCGTGGGTTCCTTGTTTCCCTTTAACGTTTCTCTTTTTGTTCCCATTATATTTCCGGGATATGGAGATTTACGGGGTAGTTACGGGTAGGGACTACCAACACTATCAGATGTCAAGTTTCAACTGAGTTTTGTGTGATTAGTTCTTGATAATCATTGTGTTCCTTGCAGTTATGGCTTGTCCTTTTTGCCATATGCCTGGTGGCCCGTGTTCTTCTGTTGATTCTTCTGTAGATGGGTTCAGTGTGGTCCTTGATCGGCGTTGTTGGAGGCGTGTTGTAAGAATACCATTTATAATTGTTCAATTTTTGGCACACACGTTTATTTCTTTTGGTGCTGCTCATGTGGTCTAGGTTTTGATTATGATCCTTGTTTTGATTTGTTCTGCAGTATGTTCCGTGCAGTGTTAGAGCTCATCTTGCTCGTTACATCGAGGAGTGCAGGGCTTTAGTCATAAGGAGGGGTGACGAAGATACTGATCTTGCTTTTCAGTGCAATGAGGGTTATTTGTATGGTGTTTTGTTTAGTCATGGTCGGTTGAGGAGTAAATTCCATGGTCCTTCCTGGGAACGATTGGTCAGTGATTATGGTGTTCGTCCTCGTGATATAATGACCATTAGGCTTGAACACTATGGAACATGGATTGGTATTGATTTTAATCGTGTTGGTCGTGGAGATGCGTTGTCTCCTTTACCTTCTGTTGGTAAGGTTTATTTTTAAGGAACTTTTTAGCTTGTTTTATTGCACATGATGATTTGTCTGTTCCCTTGAGACTGTGTAATTATATTTTGTAGCTCTTGATGGTTTGAGCGACTCCGAGATGGAACTTATTGGGAGTTGTTATTACACCCGTGGTGTTTTTCTTAATTATCAGCAGATGTATTTCATGAGGTGTCAACTCTTTGATGATGTCTACATACCGTGTTGTCCTTTTGTTCACATGATTGATTCCATGAATGTTAATGGTTATCATATGGTCAGATTTTGTTCCACTGTTTTTTCTTTGTTTCTGTTTATTTATTTATTTTTATTATCTCTTCTATTTATAGTTTTAAATTTTTGTTCTATTTTCTGATAGCTTGATGTTTTTGTCAGGTTATTCCTGATATTGTTGTGAGGAGTTTGAAGGAGTTTGTGACTTTTCCTAGGACTGGCGTTTTAACCCTTGAAGTTACTTTGGAATCTGGTGATGATGATGTATATGTGAGCACTCCTTGCTCCTACTTCATTGGCTTGGGTAGTAGAATGGTGTTCAAACATGAAGGTTTCAGTGATTTTCTCCAAGCATCGTCTATTGAAGTAAACAGCTTGGTGCTGATAACTTTCAAAGAGCGTGATGGGAGGCTTGTTGTTATCTTCAATCTTCTGCCGCGGTGATGTTAGTTATAGCCTTTGAACATAAATGGATTTTGTTTAAAAATCTATTCTACGGGTTAATGTTGTCTTGATATATGAAACGATATGAACCTAAGAACCTAAGTGTTCATTGTTGTTGTATGTTTGTAAAAGAGGTATGGCTGGGCATCTCTTTTAAAGATGTTTGAGGGAGTCCTGGATTAGGGGGTGTTCGGATAGCCGAACTATACCTTCGGCCGGGCTCTCGGACTATGAAGATACAAGATTGAAGACTTCGTCCCGTGTCCGGAAGGGACTTTCCTTGACGTGGAAGGCAAGCTTGGCAATACGGATATGTGGATCTCCTACCATCGTAACCGACTTTGTGTAACCCTAACCCTCTCCGGTGTCTATATAAACTAGAGGGTTTTAGTCTGTAGGACAACATACACAACAACAATCATACCATAGGCTAGCTTCTAGGGTTTAGCCTCTCCGGTCTCGTGGTAGATCTACTCTTGTACTACCCATATCATCAATATTAATCAAGCAGGACGTAGGGTTTTACCTCCATCGAGAGGCCCCGAACCTGGGTAAAACTTCGTGTCCCTTGCCTCCTGTTACCATCCGGCCTAGACGCATAGTTCGGGACCCCCTACCCGAGATCCGCCGGTTTTGACACCGACATTGGTGCTTTCATTGAGAGTTCCTCTGTGTCGTCGCTGTTAGGCTTGATGGCTCCTACGATCATCAATAGCGATGCAGTCCAGGGTGAGACCTTCCTCCCCGGACAAATCTTCGTCTTCGGCGGCTTCGCACTGCGGGCCAAGTGAGGCCATCTGGAGCATA